AATGGAATTAAAATGCATAGGAGGGATACTTAACCAACTGCAGAGAGATCAGAAGGATGAGAAGTTATCTAGGTACAAGGAATGTGGAAGTGAGAAAGCATTTCAGGCAAGAATAACAAAGGCTGAGGGGGAGAGCCTGGTATATTCCAGTAACTGCTAGTCGCTAGGCTGGAACTTAGGGTCCATGAAGGACAGTGGCTGCAGAGGGAGGCCAGGTCACTCACCATGTGGTCACTGATTGATTCAGTAAGTATTCGTTGATACCTACAGTGTGCAGGTCCTGTGCTGAACCCAGAAGGTAGGAAGTGGTCCAGACAACCCTTGCTCTTGGCAAGTTTGAAAATTATCTAGAAGGCACTTTAAAAGTATCAGGGAGCCTTTGAGGGGTTTCATAAAGGATGGTTGGGTAACATCAGTTACATATGCTAGAACAGTGCATTTCAAATTATCTGTGATAAAGGACATTTTAAAAAATTTCCCAGTTCATCAGAGACTACTAAAGATGGTAAAATTATAAGACAAGACAAAATATCAGTCCATCTCTTCTAAGTTATTTAGCAGCATATGATGCTGTAAAATTGTTGTAAAGCTTTCTAAATGCTTACTCTCATTTCTGTACTTACTGTAGACGAGGTTTGCAGCAGCACTGGTCCAGAGGCTGCCCTTTAGCAGTGTCAGAGAGGTCTCATCTTAGCTGCAGATGGAGAATTGCCCGGAAGAGGATTAAATGGAGGCAGAGAGACCAGTAGGGAGGCAGATAGACCAGTATCTCTATCCAGGCAAGGGGGTAGTGATGGTCTGGACACAGGCATGGCAGTGGAGAATTGGGAGGTAAAAGCCACAGATTTGGGAAAGAGGAGGGGTTCAAGGGTAAAGGTAGGAATTAAAGATGCCTCCTAGGGTCTCGCTTGGGTGATGCCAACATTGAGATCTGGACTGGAGGAGATAGAAGTTTAAGGGAGCACAGTGAGCTAGTACTGAACATACTGAAATTTTTTTTATTGAGGTATAACTGCTATATATATATATTAGCTTCAGTTTAGAACATAATGATCCCCTATTTGTATATATTGTGAAATGGTCACCCCAGTAAATCTAGTTAACATGCATCACCTGAACATATTCAGTTTGAGATGTATGTAGGACCTCCAGTAGAAAATGTCCAAGAGGCTGCTGGACATAAGGGTTTTGAGAGCCATTGTGGTCTTTGATGAAGAAACTTCCCTGGTGCAGCCTAGCACTGTCTCCTTCCTGGGGTCTCTGACTGACAGACCCAGCCCATAGTGGTGCTGTTTCCCCTGAGGGAGGTCTGGGGGACAGGGCATGGGGGTTGGGATGGGGGTTTATGTTGGGAGTAGGATTCAGGTGGTTTTTCTATAGGGATTTAACCTTGGCCAGTTTGGGGAGCTGCAAGTCCCCTTGTCACCACTGGGTGGCAGGAGTGCTTCAGACAAGTGTTCCCTGCTAGGGGCTCCTGGGCCTTTCTCTGGAACTTAGCCATCTGCCCTACTCCAAAGTTGACCCCTGGACTCTACAGACACACTTACCCGTGGACCCCTCACCTTAACCAAGGGGTCAGGAGCATGTGTTTTGTGCAGTTGGTCCTGGAGTGGATCCAGGGTGGTGACAGTCCTGGAGCCTGCCAGGGCCTTTGGTCAAGCTGTCAGTTTCTTTCCTTGCTCTGGAAACATCATCTCCAGGGGTCCTGTGCAGGGTCCCAGGCAGAGGGCTTGCTTTTGTCCAGCACAGGGATTGGCAATAAACAGGAGGGACTGTGGTCATGGGGCTGCAGCCTGTAGGACGTGCCGTGATGTGGGCCTGTCCCCTGTCCCCCTCCCCACCCCCAACACCTGTAGACAGTGCAGGTGCCCGTGTACTCAGAGCAGGAGTACCAGCTCTACCTTCATGACGACGCTTGGACAAAGGCAGAAACCGACCACCTCTTTGACCTCAGCCGCCGCTTTGACCTACGTTTTGTCGTTATCCATGACCGGTATGACCACCAGCAGTTCAAGGTGAGCTGGTGCTGTGTATCTGCATGTGTGCCAACCCTCAGGCCCGGCAGGCCACTAGCTTCATGCCTGCCTTTTCACACACATTTGTCTCTCTCTCTCCGTGTCTGTCCTCAGAAGCGTTCTGTGGAGGACTTGAAGGAGCGGTACTACCACATCTGTGCCAAGCTTGCCAACGTGCGGGCCGTGCCAGGCACAGACCTCAAGATACCAGTATTTGACGCTGGGCACGAGCGACGGCGGAAGGAACAGCTGGAGCGGCTCTATAACCGGACCCCAGAGCAGGTCAGCCCCGAGTCCCACAGACTCTTCTCCAGGCCCTGAGACCCCCTGATCACTGCCTCCATCCTCCACGCCCTCAGCTCCCCTACTGCCCCTGCCCCTTCCCCATCCAGTCCCACCCCTCACCAGCCACCCTCCCTGCTCTCCACAGCCCTTCCCTCCCTCACGACCCCTTGCTGCTCAGAGTCCCTCACAGACAGCCCAGCTCCCCTCTGTCTCCCTGTCTCCCCTCGTTGCCCCGTGAGTGTCACGCTCCTCAGCATCTCTCTTGCCCAGGTGGCGGAGGAGGAGTACCTGCTGCAGGAGCTGCGCAAGATAGAGGCCCGGAAGAAGGAGCGGGAGAAGCGCAGCCAGGACCTGCAGAAACTGATCACGGCGGCAGACACCACTGCCGAGCAGCGGCGCACGGAACGCAAGGCCCCCAAGAAGAAGCTCCCCCAGAAAAAGGAGGCCGAGAAGCCGGTGTGGAGGCTGAGCCAGCCCAGCTTAGGGTGGGGGCTGGGACTGACATTGGGCCCTCTCCCCGTGACACCCTGGTCTCCACAACTGCTCTTCCTCAGGCTGTTCCTGAGACGGCAGGCATCAAGTTCCCAGACTTCAAGTCTGCGGGCGTCACGTTGCGGAGCCAGCGGGTACGTGAGTCACCTTCTTCACTGTGTCTGGGCCCTCGGCTCTATGGCCTGAACACTGTAGGCCGGGGGCCTGGAGCAGGTGGAGGTGGACACACCAGGATCTCAAGGGGACGCCAAGCTGAGCTCACAGTTTTCAGCCTGTTCTGCTCACTGCTTGTTTCCTTCTGTGACCCAGAGCTGCCTCTAGGGGTTAACTTCTCTTCCGGCCCTCCCCACCCCCCCCAATTCCTTTTGTCTCTTTCATCCTAAACCGCTTGTCGGGAGAGGGTCCCGCTTGAGCTGAGCTGCCTGGGTCATTGCAGATGAAGCTGCCCAGCTCTGTGGGACAAAAGAAGATCAAGGCCCTGGAACAGATGCTGCTGGAGCTGGGTGTGGGTGAGTGTGGAGGCTGGGCCCCTCAGGAGGGACCTTCCACCAACTCCCGCCCCCCCAAGGCGAGGTTGTGGATGAAGGCCGGGCAGTAGGGGGCAGTTCTTGCTGCTGGCCTCCCACCACTGTGCCTCCTACCCGCCCACAGAGCTGAGCCCAACGCCCACGGAGGAGCTGGTGCACATGTTCAATGAGCTGCGGAGCGACCTCGTGCTGCTTTACGAGCTCAAGCAGGCCTGCGCCAACTGCGAGTATGAACTGCAGATGCTGCGGCACCGGCACGAGGCACTGGCGCGGGCTGGGGTGCTGGGCGGCCCCACCACCCCGGCCTCGGGCTCAGCCCCGGCCCCGGCCGAGCCAGTGGTGTCTGAACCTGGTCTCGGCTCTGACCTCAGCAAGGACACCATCATCGATGTGGTGGGCGCACCCCTCACGCCCAATTCGGTAAGAGCCTGGACTGACCAGGAGAGCTGCAGCTGGCCCTGCTAGTGAGCACACGCACGTGCATGCATGGGCCCCACCCCTTCTAGTGCCCGAAACAGGGATCATCGCTCTGAGGGGTTCTGAGAATGAGTGGGTGGCCAGTGGGCATCACCTTCCTGACTCAGAGCATGAAGCACATGCACCAAGCCCGAGTCCAGCCACTGACTCAGCACCTTGTGTCTCCTCAGAGGAAGCGGCGGGAATCTGCCTCCAGCTCCTCTTCTGTGAAGAAAGCCAAGAAGCCATGAGAGGCCCCACGGGGTGTGGGACGCTGCTGTGTAAATAGAGCTGCTGAGCTGGACTGGGCTGCCTCCTTTTCCTTCTCATCACTTGTGACGCCCCCGGCTGGGAGGGTGGCCAGGAGGGGTGGCCCTGGGGCTTGCCTGCGCTGAGGCCCTTGGCAGCCCTTTAACCACTGACCAGCTCCCCCAACTCCTGTATCTGGGAACACCCATCGTTCTACACTCAGGTTGGAATCGCTTCTCGGCCTCTTGGCCAAGAGCAAGTGTACACTCAGGTTGGTTTGCACAAAGCAACGACTGTACATCCCAACTGCTTCTGACACAGCCTCGTGCTCAGTCCGAACCCGCCGCGCTGTGTGCATGCAGAGAGGGTCTCAGGTACTCCACTGATGCCAGCTCTACTTACTGGTGGCCTTGAGCACAGGGCGGCCTGGTGCATGTGCTGTCCCCCACACATCCAGACGCCATCAGGCCTGGCACCACCTGGTCCACATCCACATCCACACACACACACACACACACACACACACCCAGGGCCTCATTTCCCCGACTTTATTCAGTGGCACGTTCACAGCGGGGACGGGGGCAGACACAAGGTGGGGCCTGATCTGTCCTGGAGCCCTGGGGGCACCACACACCATGCACTACAGATGGGAGGGGGCACAGGGGGGCTCGGCTGCCCCGGTAGAAGCCTGTGTACTGGGAGGAGGCGGTGAGGAGGAGGTCCCCCAGCCCAGGCCCACAGTGGGAGGGGCTGATACTGGGCTGAGGTGGAGAGGTGGGGGCAGGGGCACAAAGTGTCTGTTCCAGAGGGGCCGAGGAGCCAGGCCTTACCCAGGGCAGAAGCCCACGGGGCGGGCTGGGGGACACTCTGGACGCAGAGCTGTGCCACTTCCCCTTTGCCCCTCTGGTGAGGGAGAGGAAGGTTCTGGGCTGGGCCAAGCAGCTACCCTGTCCTGCCCCATCCCATCCTCGGCCAGTCAGAACGGCTTTGACGTCTGCTTGAAGATGAAGCCTCGATAGGCGAGTGTCTTCATGATGTTGGCAATGTTCTTGCAGTCATCTAAAAGGAGGGAGAGGAGACAGTTAGGTGGGCCCCAGATCCTTCCCCTGTGGGCCCACAGGTGCTCCTAAACAGGTGTTGTGGGAAGCAGGATCGGATTCAGAAGCCAAAGGCTCTAAACCAGGGGGGTCCTATCCCCAGGTGGCAGCATCTCCAGCTTCAGGTTGGGTCGGCAGGAAGCCTGGTCTCGGGGCCTCTCAGTCCCATAATTCATGCTGGAAATTGGCCGGCGTGTCCCGCCCGGCCCCAGCGGTGATGTATGGGCGCCGTCGCAGTAAGAAAAAGGCAGAGTAAATGTGTAATTTCTCCCTTGACGGCCCCCGGCCGCTGGGCGATCCTTCTTGTTGCCGCCGCGTGGGGACGGCCCGTCCGCCACACTCCGTCTTCCCGCCACCCGCCTTGATGTCTCCATTTCATTACTGTGCGGCCATTCATCACGCCCACGGCCAGGGTGACTTTGCCGGCACTTGCGTGTGTGTGGGAGACGCAGCCCAGGACATAATCACTGGTGACAAGGCACGAGCCTTGGCACTTCCAGTCGGGGCCCCAGGCTCACATGCTCTAGCAGCAGCTGCCTGGGCGCGGGGTTCTGTGTAGCCCTGGCTGGCAGAGAAGGGCCAGGTCTGTGGTCCTCTCAGGCCCTGGCGGGCAGCCGTCTACCAGACACGCCCGTGGAGCTCAACCCAAGCTCTCTTCTCCAGGCAGGCTTCAGACCCTGACTCTGGCAGTACTTCAGATTAAAGACATGTGCGCCTGTCAGACCCTGGCGGCAGCGTCCTCGGTATTGATTCCCATGAGAAACTCCATGGTGAAAACCATCCCAAACCCCAGACGCGGGTAGCTACAGGCGCAGGTGCTCCTGGAGCCTCAGTGTCATGGTCAGGGACCAGGACTTCCTTCACCACCCCCTCCCACATCCCATAGGTGCTCACACAACCGGGACCTCAGCTGCCACAGCCCTTACAAGATGGGTGCTAGGACTGCAGAAGTATTGGACGTCGATGTCACCATTAGGTGGGGGGGGGCTAGTAAGGTCAAGGTGGGTTCAGGAGGCTCTGCATGTGTCAAGGACCAACTTCTTCCAGTGAGCTCCCAGCCTCTCCTTGCCAGGATCTTAGACTGGGAAAGGGGACCCGACCAGAGCGAGGATGACTCTGGGAGTGGGGCAAGTCTGCTCAGGCCAAGCCTTATGCCATCAGCTGGACCCCAGCTCTGCAGACAGGTCACACAGGGTCCTATTTCTCAGAGCTCAAAATGAATGTAGCCAGCTGGGGTGGATGTGGGCACAGACAGGTGACCCCAGGCATTTGGGAAGCCATGAAGGCTGGTCTGAGGCAGAACAGTGCGAAGACTGATGGGTGGGTATTGGCGGCCATGGCAACTCCAGACGTGACCCATCCCTGTGGTTTATGGGCCGGACACGCACCCCGCTCAGCTGCCGCCCCGTCATTTGTCTCCCTTAGTGTGTATGCCGAATCTGTGGGGGTAGGGGGTGGAGGGAGGGGGCTGTGACAGGAGGAGCCAGGCAGTTGGGGGAAGGGGAATGGGACAGGAACGGCTGTGCAGGCGGGGCGGGTGTGGGAGTGGGACAGAAAGGCCTTACAATAGGGTCCAGGAGCTGTGGCTGACAGGGTGATTTTCTTCCCAGGTAAATCTGGCCTTGTCAGGGCACCTCCAGTCCTTCCTGTCTCTGACACTCTGGGGACCATGGCCACTGTGCATATTAAGAATAAGTCCCCTCGTTATCTGCAATTACCCAGCGGCCACACACCTCATTTCTTCCAGCAGAAAAGAAAATTAGTTTTCTATTGACTTCATCTGGCTCCTCCCTCGTTGCTGGACAAATCGCTCAATCTGCCTCCCCTAGCCCAAGTGAATGTGCCCAGCCCCTCCCCCCAGGCCACCAGCCATCCAGTGGGTGAGCACTGACCTCCCACCTGTGCTGGTCGGGCTGGGCGAAGGTCCACGCACCCCAGTCTCAACCCTGACCTCTCCTCACTCTATACCCCGGAGGGTTCATCCACATCCCAAGCTCCAGCTACTCCTGAAAACTGTCTCCTGAGCTCCAGACCGCAGATCCAGACACCTTGGGAACATCTAGATCTACAGACAAACTAAATGGCCAGCTGAGAGCTAGTTTCCTCGCCCCAGCTCCTTCACTCTCCCGTGTTCTCCATCACAGTGAATGGCACCCCGAAATGTCCCAGGAGAAATCCAACTCAAGCCTGGCATCCTGCCTTCTCCCCGAGTCTAATCCGACATGAACTGCAGGCTTCGTCGTCCTGTCTCATCTTCTTCCCTTCACTCTGGCACCGCCTCCCAGTCCAGAGCCCAGCATCGCCTGCTCTTCAACAGCAGCGGCTTCTCTCTCGCGCCTTTAATCCATTCTCTCACAGCCAGAGTGATCTTTCTCACACAAATCTGATCTCGTCCTTTTCTCCTTAAATCTCTTCAGTGGCTTCCCTGCCCTCAAGTCCACACACTCATTAGACTTCAAGGTTAAAGCCCTGCAAAACCGGATCCCCGCTCTCTCTGGTCTCACCCCTGCCACGCTCTACCCTCAACCCCCGGATTCCAGCCTCAAGGGGCCACTTACTGTTTTCTGAAAATGACAAAGTAGGTTTTGGAGTCAGACCTGTTTCTAGTTGCCCTGTGGCAACTGCCAAGTTTCCCCAAACTTTAGGTTCACCGGGGTGATAAGAGGTGCTACCTGAGTGCTATGGGAGGAATCAGCGAGTGAAACCGCCACATGCCTGCACATGCTTTATGTCTGGAATATCTCCTCTCTTGATGGGAAGGCAAGGATGCTAGTTTTCAGGATGGTCCAGTGGTGAGAAGGTGTGTACTGTACAATCTGTGGCATAGGTGACATAGGGGCCTTGGTGAAACCACTCATCACTCATGCCACAAACTCTTGACTACTGACTTCATCCACCAGGGATTCCAGAGTCTAACTTGTTGCAACTGGTCTATCATAATGAAGAGAGACCCAGACTGGGCTCATCCAGCAGGTCAGTACTATTGCAGTTTTGGGCTTCCAGCCCTGGAAGGTATCCGAAGAGTCAGCACTCCACTGATCAGCACAGACACAAATCTGGGCTTTTAATAGTAAATTCAGATAGAGCTCTGGGTAAGCCTGATAACAACATGGCCTCCCAGAAAGTCGTCAGCTCGAAGCCCTGGGTCAGCAGTCCCACACTGTGGCCCATCACTGAGTGACTAGGAACAGCCTGAGGCTGTTCTGGGGGGTCAAGAGCAGGGAGACTTGTGCCCACACCGGAGGCTTCTAAGAGTAGGTCTTCCTCACTTCCAAATTCTAGAAGACTAACCTGTTTTTATGTCCCTGCAGGATCAACTTGTGACAAGACTGCCCTCATCTTTGGGGGGGCATTAACATTTTTAATGTTGGAAATAATTCTTAATGTTTTTATATTGCCAAGGCTGTAATGGGGAGGGGGGGCTAGTTGCATACATCCCTCAAAGGTGAGTAGGGTCAGCACTTAACAGGATGAGCTTGCTGGCTGGGCCCAAGGGTAGTCAAATACATGCCTGGCAAGGCAGCTGCTAGTGGAGGGTGGCTCAGATCGCTCAGGACAGCCTGTGAAAATTCACACAGAGCAGCCCCCTGCGGCTGACACGCTCCAGCTGGTACCCTTGTCTGGGAACTGAAAGAGGACAGGATGCAGAGCCTGAGCCAGGGCCACCCTCAGGAGGGAAGGGGCCCCAGGAAGCTCTTGGAGGGCCATCTATTCACACACTCATTCATTCAGCAAATACACTGACACCTCCTGCGTGCCAGGCGCACAGACCCATGCTGGGCCACAGCTTGCAGACCCTGCAGCTCCCTGCCCTCGAGGAACTTCGGAGACTGCACCTACAAGTGGTGCAGTGTGAACAACACTATGAGAAAAGCAGGCACCAAAAAGGGCACTTCATTTAGTCCAAGGATCAGGAGAGGGTTCCTGGGAGGAAATTAAAAATGCAGAGGAGGCTAGCCAGCAAGGTGGGGAGGTATTCTCGGCATAGTGAACAGCACAGGCACCTTTCACAGGGGAAATGTGGAGTGTCCCCCAAATTTAAGATGAGCAGATGGTGGGTGGGGGTGATGAGGAAGAGACAGGGAAGCAGCCAGGTCAGCACTGGCTGGCTAGAGGAACCCCTGCAGAGCCCCGAATGCCAAACTAAGGAGCTTTAATTTTTTCTGGGAATGATGGTGAAGACACATGTTTGAGGAGCAATGACAGGCTCCGATTTGAGTTTCAGAATTATCTTTTGAGGCCTGGAGGGGTCCTGGAGGACTGACCAGAAGGCAGAGACACCAGCTAGCAGACTGTACTATGTATTTCTGGTCCAAGTCAGAAATAGTGACCCAGAACAAGGCCAGTGATGGTGGAGACGAAGGTGGAGAGATAATGGTCATGTGGAGAAGCAGATGGAGGCAAGAGATTTTTAGGAAACAGAATGAGCAAGACTTAACGAGGGGACTGGGAGGGCTGGAGGAGGCACAAGTCTAAGATCTAAGTACTACTCACTGTAATAAGGCAAACAGGAGAAAGTACAGGTTTAGGTCAGTGGTGAACTCAGCTTCAGATGTATTAAGCCTTGAGACTTCTATGGGGCAACTAAACTTTTTTGGGACAACATTTCTTTTATGGCTTTTGGGCATTGTAGCTTGCTTAAACAGGCCTTCCCTATCCCAGTGTTACTAGAAAACTATCATATATTTTCATCTAATACTTTATTTATGAAAACTTTGACTTTTAGTCTGCCTGGAATTTATTTTTGTATACGGTGAGTAGAAGATCTAACTTGCTTTTCTCCCTAGTGGATAGCCAGCTGTCTTATCAGCACTGACTGAACTGTCCACACCTGCCCCACACTTTTGAAATGATCCCTCTATCATATATACAATTTCCATACGTGGATCTGTCAGAGCCAGGGAAGAGAATGAACATGAAATGATCAAAGAGGCAAATCATATTGCGAGGACACCCGGAGCA